ATCTCACTGCAGAAAAACCAAAGCCTAACAAGCTTTTTAAAATTTTGACAAAAGTGTATCCTACAGTTGCATATCTTATCTGACCGTATCCAAGTAATTCCACCATAAAGAAGAGAATGAAAAATGTAACTAAGAAGTAAGTTCAAGGAGGCCCGAGTGCTGAAGATGAGTTATATACCTGGACTCAGGTATATCTCAAGGTTATGGTGTAGTAAGGGTCAGGCTCCCAGGGAAATTGCCACATAGACTTTGAAGTAGTTTTGTACAGAGAGATAAGATTGAGGGCGTCAGTGGGTTCATGAAGTAGTTCACTGTATAACACTGTGATAACAGGTAAACTTGATGATAGAAAGCTTATGAATATACTCAAGAGTTTAGAACAAACTAAGTTCTATCTTCTATCTCCATTAGAAGATATAGGTAAAGCACACCTACTGTAATATGCTTAGATCCAAACAGCATTACAACTAGATTGGTATTATAGTTCTAGAGAGTGAGAAAATGGTCCAGCTTCATTGGGCAATTTCATTTGGGCTTCACTTTAACCATTAGGAGAATAAAAATAGTGATGATAATAATATATATAATAGCCAAACTTTTTGCATGCTTAATATGTTGAAAGGCCCTAAGTGCTTGATATTCATTCATTTAACCAATATTTATTGAGCACCTAGTGTGTGCTTGTCAGCACGGTGCTAGTTGAGAATAGGATAGTTAACAAGTCAGACAAGATTCTTGGTCTCATTGGGCTTTTCTTTTCTTTTCTGTTTCAGGTGTAGAATTTAGTGATTCATCACTTACATACAACATCCAGTGCTCATCATAAGTGCCCGCCTTAATACCCATCACTTATTTAACCCATCCCCCAACCCACCTCCCCTCCAGTAACACTCAGTTTGTTCTCTATAGTTAAGCGTCTGTTTTCTGGGGGCGCCTGGGTGGCTCAGTCGTTAAGTGTCTGCCTTTGGCTCAGGTCATGATCTCAGAGTCCTGGGATCAAGCCCCATGTCGGGCTCCCTGTTCCGTGGGAAGCCTGCTTCTCCCTCTCCCACTCCCCCTGCTTGTGTTCCCTCTCTCACTGTGTCTCTCTGTCAAATAAATGAATAAAATCTTTAAAAAAAAAAAAGAGTATTTCTGGTTTGCCTTTCCCCCCCGCGCCATGTTGATCTGTTTTGCTTCTTAAATTCCACATATGAGTGAAATCATGTGGTATGTTTTTCTCCAACTTATTTTACTTAGCAGAATACACTCTAGCCCCATCCACACTGTTGCAATGTCAAGATTTCATTCCTTTTGATGGCTGAGTAATATTCCATTATATATATAGACCATATCTTCTTTATCTATTCATCAGTTGATGCACATTTGGGCTCTTTCCATAATTGGCTATTGTTGATACTGCCGCTATAAACATCAGGGTGCATGTATCCTGCTGAATCAGTATTTTTGTACCCTTTGTGTAAATAACTAGAAGTGCAATTGCTGGATCGTCCAGTACTTCTATTTTACACACACACACACATTTTTTTTTTTTTAAGTAGGCGCCACGCTGGGCCTGGAGTCCAACATGGAGCTTGAACTCACGACCCTGAGATCAAGACCTGAGCTCAGATCAACTGTCAGATGCTTAACCGACTGAGCTACCCAGGCACCCCTCTTCTGACCATTTTTTAACTGGATTATTTGTTTTTTTGGGTGTTGAGCTTTGATAAGTTTTTGACATCTTTTGGATACTAACCCTTTATGAGATATGTCATTTGCAAAATATATTCTCTCATTCCGACGGTTGCCTATTACTTTTGTTGTTTCCTTCACCATGCAGAAGGTTTTTATCTTGATGAAGTCCCAATAGTTTATATTTGCTTTTGTTTCCCTTGCCTCAGGAGACATATCTAGGAAGAAGTTACTATGGCTGATGTCAAAGAAGTTACTGCTTATGTTCTCTTCTAGGGTTTTTATGGTTTCAGGTCTCACATTTAGGTCTTTTACCCATTTTGAATTTATTTTTGTGTCTGGTGTAAGAAAGTGGTCCAGTTTTCCCAACATCATTTGTTGAAGAGACTGTCTTTTTTCCATTGGATACTATGTCCTGCTTTGTTGAAGATTAATTGATCATATAATTGTGGGTTCATTTCTGGGTTTTCTATCCTGTTCCATTGATCTATGTGTCTATTTTTGTGTCCATAACATACTGTTTTGATCACTACAGCTTTGTAATATAACTTGAAGTCCAGAGTTGTGATGCCTCCCAGCTTTGCTTTTTTTTTTTCACGGTTGCTTTGGCTATTCAGGGCTTTTGTGGTTGCATACACATTTTAGGATTGTTTGTTCTAGCTCTGTAAAAAATGTTGGTGGTATTTGCATAGGGATTGCATTAAATGTGGAGATTAATTTTGGGTAACACAAACATCTTAACATTTGTTCTTCCAATTCATGAGCATGGAGTGTTTTACCATTTCTTTGTGTCATCCTCAATTTCTTTCATAAGTGTTCAATAGTTTTCAGAGTATAGATCTTTTACCTCTTTGGTTAGGTTTAGTCCCAGGTAGCTTATGGTTTGTGGTGCAATTGTAAGTGGGATTAATTTCTTAATTTCTCTTTCTGCAGCTTTATTATTGGTATAAAGAAATGCAACAGATTTCTGTGTGTTGGTTTTGTATCCTGTGACTTTACTGAGTTCATGTATCAGTTACAGCAGTTTTTTGGTGGTCTTTTGGATTTTATACATAGAGTATCATGTCATCTGCAAATAGTGAAAGTTTTACTTCTTTGCTGATTTGGATACCTTTTATTTCTTTTTGTTAATCTGATTCCTGTGACTAGGACTTCTGGTACTATGTTAAATAAGAGTCGTGAGAGTGGATATCCCAGTCTTCTTCCTGACCATAGAGGAAAAGCTCTCAGCTTTTCCCCATTAAGGAAGATATCAACTGTGGGTTTTTCATATATGGCCTTTATGATGTTGAAGTTTGTTCCCTTTATCCCTACTTTGTTGAGGGTTTTTATCATGAATGGGTGTTATACTTTGTTGAATGCTTTTTCTTCATCTATTGAGTGGATCACATGGTTCTTATCCTTTCTTTTATTAATGTGGTATATCATGTTGATTGATTTGCAAATATCGAAGCACGCTTGCAGTCATTGGGCTTATTTTCTTGTAGATTTCATGAGTTATATAATCATTTCAACAATGTCTCATAGGTAGTATTAAACATATTTTATAGATAATGAAATCTGAGGAACAGAGAAATTAAATAATTTCCTAAAAATCACAAGAGTAGAAAGCATCAGAGTTAGGAAAATGAACCTACGATGGTACGACTTCAAGGTCACTTCAAAACCTTTAGGTATGATCATGGTTAATTGATCAAGGACAATAATACAGTTCCATATGTATATCAAGGAGTTCTTCTACTGTTCAAAATGCAGTAACTTTTGAGGGGAGAAGAAAGGTCCCAATCACTACTCAAAAGGAAAACTTATTCTTAGGTCTAAGACCAATTAGAGAGATCCTCCAACATTTATGATAGCCTGAATCTTATCGTTCAACACCAAGAGCAAAGCAAAATTACCTTTTATAATTCTTAAATGTGAAACAACAAATGTGAGGTTTCTACAAATGGAATGTAGTGAGAAAGAAAAAAAAAACTATCCCTAATACTCAGGAACTGATTTGACACTTACACCTAAGCTATGTTGTCTTCTTATTGGACATAAACGATCTCACAGGAACATCCACTTCAGACAAGATCATTGTACAACCCACAAAATGCCAAACATTTCCTTGTCAACTAAATGAACGAATGCCACTTCTTTACCAATTACATTTTTGCCTTTGCTCTAGTTTGCCCTCCCTATAGATAAAATTTATTGAGATACCCAATCACAGTGTTGCCCTGATTTCTGGCACCACCAAATCTAGAACCTCTACTTCCTTGGTCCCTCCCCAAAATTAGCCAAACAAAGCCCAAATCCCAAAATAAATTCTAACATCCTCTTACTGAGACACCCCACAGCTCCCCATGGTGTGTTCTCTCTTGCTACAGTGAGTAAAAGATCCAATTTGTTTAACTGTAGGTGTTCCCTCAGCCTTTGACTGAAGAGCACTGATAGTAGTATTAATAATAAGTAATTGCTGGTAAATTTCACTAACCATTTATTGAGCCTATACTATATGCAAAGTAATGTGTTAGTTTCTAGGGAGTATTTGTGCAGAGGAGCTTATAATCTATTGAGGGTGAAAGTAAGTACACTAATGAGGTACAAAATCCTTGGGTTTTAAGAAGCAAAGGTTATATTGAGGGAATGAGGACAACTTCATGAAGAGGTGTATTTTGAGATTCATTTCAAAGTAGAGGAGGGTTTCTGGTTTCTACATGTGGAAATAAGAAAGAGGATATTAAGAGATAAGGTAAGACTACTGTATTTTTCTTTCTTAAGCTATAACAACATTTTAGAGCACTAAGTGCTCTAAAAATATAGGCCTTATTTATTCCTCGTATATCCACATTTTATAGATGAAATTGAGAGAAGTTAGATCACTTGCCCAAGGTCACAAAGCAAGTAAGTTACAGAGCTCTGATTCAAACCCAAGTATGTTTGACTCTAAAGTCCATAAACCTTAACCACTACAACAGTGCAAGCCAGGCTTTGTGAGTAATGGCAACTCTGCCTTGATGCCCTCCAATGTTGAAGTTACAACTACAATTTTAAGCTACTTAAGTACTGGACTCAGTCAATGTTGATAAAAACAAGAAAGCAAGCAAGCAAGCAAACTGAAAAAGGTTTGAAGGAAGAAAAGAAAAAAAATAATTGGTCAGTGTGGATAAGAATATTGTTACTGCCTAATACATGGAAAAGTACTGTGGTTACTCATATCCTCATTTGAGTACATACATACTCATTTGAGGATATGAGTAAACACAAAACTCTCCAAGGCAAATTATTCTACTGAATTTATATTGACTAGATAAAGGTCTGTCACAGTTGACCCAGTGATAATGTCTACTCTGATTGGAGGGGCCCTTCATGGGAAAAAAGGGACCCTGAAGGATGGTAGTCAGGAGAATAATTTACTTCTGAAGGTAGTAAATATCAACAGTGGCCACAAAATGGTAGCCATGAGACACATAAGAATTATGAAAGAGAAAGTTGGTGTAATTTCAGGACAAGTAGTGGTTCAGAATCCTTTCAGGGTATGACAGGCTTTAATGCAGGAAATAAAGTTAATAAATGATGTTCAATATTTAAGGAAATTTGTCAAATTTATAAACTAAATGAGCACTAAATCTAAAAAGAAGCAAGTAAACATAAACTTTTACAACAAAATCTAGGTTGAATTTAAAGTTTATAACCTTACTATTAAAAATTAAGACAAAAGTCACTATGGGTGTTACCCTTCTGTAATACACACACGTATAAGTGCCCCTCCGACATTAAAACCCACTAGGTGGGCAATAGGTGACAGGAAAATTTAGCATCTCTCCATCTCCCAAGGATTTTTTTCTCCTTAGTGTGTAATGTCTTTATTGAGACCATACTATGAATTACATTAATTCAATGTGAATTAAATAAATAAGGTAATTAGCATGAATTATATGACTTAATATAACTAGGCAAATGTAGAGGACAATAAACTGGTACCTCATGGACCCCCATGGGGGACACCCTAGTAACGAAATAGAACTTTGCCTCTCACTCCAGAAACTCTATTTGCCTTGTCCCAGTGATAATCCTTTCTCCCCCTCATATGTAACTGCTGTCATGACTTTTAAAGTAATCACTCCTAGCTGTTTCAAAATTTTATCACTTTTTCAGTTTTATCACTCAAATATGCATCCCTAGTTATGATTGTTTCATCTTGTCCATTAAAAAATGTTTGATTTATTTTAGGCTTCCTTTAATCTATAGAGTTGTCTTATATATCTTTTCCTTACAATTTATATACTGAACCCAGGCCCATTTGCCCTGTAGTTTCCCACAATATAGATTTTGCTGATTGCATATTCATGTCTAATTCTGCATGTAGAACTTATCTTCTTTATCTTCTGTAGTTTCTGCAAATTAGCAGCTGGATCCAGAGCCTATATCAAACTCAGGTTTGATCTGAATATTAAAGATATATATGGTGAGTAATATTCCATTGTGTGTATATGCCACATCTTCTTTATCCATTCATCTATGAATGGATGCTTAGATTGCTTCCATATCTTGGCTATTGTAAACAATGCTGTTATAAACTTAGGGGTGCATATGTCTTTTCAACTTAGTGCTTCTGTTGAGGGTATAATGCTAAGTGAAGTAAGTCAATCAAAGAACGGTAAATACTATGTGATTTTACTCATGTGGAATTTAAGAAACAAAACAAATGAACAAAGAAAAAAAGAGACAAAAAGCCAAACTCATAAATACGGAGAACAAACTGGTGTTGGCCAGAGGTGCAGTGGGTCGGGGGAGGGGTAAAATAGAGGGATTCAAGAGTATACTTACCTTGAGCACTGAGTAATGTATACAATTATTGAATAATTATAGTCTACACCTGAAACTAATATAACACTATCTTAATTATACTTCAATAAAAAAAAGAAAAAAATTCAAAGATTCATAGCAAAAAAAAAAAAAAAAGATATGTGTGGTGTTTGCCAAGACTATAGAAGGCAAATATCTAGTCTCTTTGTGATGTTAACAGCCATTGATGCATCATGCATATATCTCTTAATTCATCAGGAGTTGCAGAATGGTGATATGCTTCTAGTTTTTTTCCATGTATTAGTTGGGATACTTTTATAAAAAGAGATACTTCATCTATTTCATGTACTATTTGGTTATGCAGTGGTATAGTACATATGGGAAAGGCCAGATGAACACTTGATTTTTTCATTTACCAGATAATGAATTGGTTTCCTATTATCTTCTGTGAGTGGCCAATCCTTTCTTTTTAAATATCTATTATGAACTCATGGATTTAAACCCATCTGATGGGTTTCAATCTTTGGTATTTCTCATCCTTACTGATACTCAAATAATCCCTTCTTAGGCTAATGGGTTATCTTCCCTTGGCTGCTGATGTCTTTTGATATGACCCTCCTAGTCTTTGAAAGCTTCCTAACTATCTCATGTGTCAAGACGGTCCAAGCTTGTCTTGTACATTTCCGGCTTCAGATTTGGAATTGGCTACTTCTCTAAGAAGCCCTGGTTTCAGGTAAGAGTGGCTCAGTCAGTTAAACATCTGCCTTCTGCTCAGGTCGTGATCCCAGGGTCCTGGAATCGAGCCCCACGTGAGGCTCCCTGCTCAGCGGGGAGCCTGCGTGTCCCTCTCCCTCTGCAGCTCTCCCTGCTTGTGCTCTCTCGCTCTATCAAAAAATAATAATAATAAAATAAAATCTTAAAAAAAAAAGAAGCCCTGGTTTCCTCTAATGTGAAATGGTATTTCAAGACCACAATATAAATGCTAGAGATGCTCACTGCTACTGTTCTTTTTATTTTCTTTTCCTTATTGTTTTTAGGAATTTCCAGTGGATATAGCAGCTATATATTTATATTTATACCTTATGAGTTCACATTGATGTTTCCAATTCAAATCCAAGACTAGTTTTTTTTTTCTTTTTCTTTTTTAAGATTTTATTTATTTGACAGAGAGAAAGCACACAAGTAGGCAGAGCGGCAGGCAGAGGCAGAGAGAGAAGCAGGCTCTTGCTGAGCAGGGAGCCCAATGCGGGGCTCGATCTGAGGACCCCAGGATCATGACCTGAGCCGAAGGCAGGTGCTTAACCGACTGAGCCACCCAGGCGCCCCAAGACTACAGAGTCTTTTTTTCTTTTTTTTTAAGATTTTATTTATTTGACAGAGAGACAGAGAGAGCACACAAGTAGGCAGACCGGCAGGCAGAGGGAGAAGCAGGCTCTTGCTGAGCAGGGAGCCTAATGCGGGGCTTGATCCCAGGACCTTGGGATCATGACCTGAGCCAAAGGCAGCTGCTTAACCGACTGAGCCACCCAGGCGCCCCAAGACTACAGAGTTTTTAACTTAACATTTTTTGGTATTACATCTGTGTCTCCTTTGTCCTACATTAATAATCCTGATTATTATTAAGAATGAAGAGACAACAGAATTAGAAAATTTCATAATTACTCATTTGCTTTATCCCACATCAATATGTTCTCAGAATAACAATACTAAGACTACCACCATAATGGTTACTGAAACACTAAACATTTTGGGTATATATTGTTGCTTAGTTTTGCCTATTTTGAGCTTCATATATATAGAATCATACAAAATGTATTCATGTCTCTTTTTTCACTCTATAGAATGTCTGTGAGATTCACACTAATCAGAGGGTTTGTTTCCCACTGTCAGGTAACGTTCTACTATATAATTCATAGAAAATGAATAATTATTTAGAAAAATTTATCTGGTTCAAGTGCAGTGATCATTTATCACTCATAATAGAAGTCTAAGAATTTGGCCTCAGGGATCACATAGCTTGTACTGTCTTTGGATTGGTCTCCAGACCCCAAAAAGTGTGTTGATATAAACTGCACTGCATTTTCCTGAACTCCATTTTCACTTCTCATTCACGTTTCATCTCTGGGCAAAGTAAAGAAACAGAGATATTGATGGAATTATCCTACACACTCAAGCCTCAGTCAGGCCAGTTAGATTGATATAGTACAAATTTCCATAATCTTATGTCAGCACTGAGCCTATAGGAAGCCATACCTTCAGAGAATCATCTATATTAGGAGGAAAAACCTTGAAAATCAACCACTTCTGTGTGTCAAGCCTTTGGTCTCCAAACCTCTAGGAGTTAATTAAAAATTTTCAATATTTGAAATGTTCTAACAGAAATCTCCTAACTACCTATATAAATCTTGTTTCTCTCTTTGCCTGACATCTCAGCTCAGGGTGGCAATCATGGTTATCTAATGCTAATCAGAAACAAAAATGTCTTTAATTAATAAGAAATATAAAACAAAGAGTTTCTTAACAAATACAGTACTTTGCAAGACAAAATCTTTCAAAGCATGGGACCCAACAAGGAAAAGTAGTAACAAATCAGGGTTCTTGATGGTCTAACTGCTGTAGTCCAACCTACCCAAGTGGAGGAAAGGTGAAATGATTCACCCAAAGCTAATCTCCTAGGGAACATAGTTCAGTAAAGGTATCAAAAATTTTTTTAATTGGGTTAAAATACACATAACATAAAGTATACCATCTTAACCATTTTTCAGTGTACAGTTGGGCAGTATCACATATATTCATGTTGTTGTGCAGCCATCACCACCGTCCATCCCCAGAACTCTTTCCATCTTGTAAAACTGGAACTATACCTATTAAACAATAACTCAACATTCTCCCTCTCTCCTCAGCCCTCGCCACCACATTCTACTTTCTGTCTCTGAGTACTTCATATAAATGGAATCATACAGTTTGTCTTTTTGTGAATGGCTTATAATGTCCTTAAGGTTCATCTATACTATAGCACATGTCAAAACTGCCTTATTGTTTAAGACTGAGCAGTATTCATTGTATGTACATACCACATTTTACTTTTCGAACTATAGAAATGATCCCTGAATGTATAGTCTTGTTTTACTTATCTTTTTCATCCATCAATGGACACTTGGGTTGCTTCCAAATTTTAGCTATTGTGAATAATGCTATGAACATGGCTGTACAAATATCTCTTTGAGACTCTGCTTTCAGTTCTTTTGGCTCTATGCCCAGAAGTGGAACTGCTGGATCATATAGTAATTCTATTTTTAATTTTTCAAGGACCATCTCACTGTTGTCCACAGCAGTTGTACAATCTTACATTCCCACCAACAGTGCACAAGGATTCCAATTTCTCCATATTCTTTTTTTTTTTTAATAGTAGCTAGCCTAATGGGTGTGAGATGTGATACTGAGCATCTCATGTGTTTATTGGTCATTTGTGTAGTTTTGGAGAAATGTCTATTCAAGTCCTTTGCCCATTTTTGAATCAGGCTGTTTTTTTGTTGTTGAGTTTTAGGAGTTCTCTATATATTCTGGATATTATCTGGATATCCAGATATATGATTTGCAAATATTTTCCCCCATTCGATAGGTTGCCTTTTTACTCTGTGGATAGTGTTTTTTGATATACAAATTTTTAAAATCTTCATGAAGACCAATTTGTCTTTTTTCTTTTGTTACCTATGCCTTTGGCATCATATCCAAGAAATCATTACCATGTCCAATGTTATGAAACTTTTATCCTATGTATTTTTCTAAGAATTTTATTGTTATAGGTCTTACATTTAGGTCCTTGATCCTTTTTTGAGTTAATTTTTGTATATGGTGTTAGGCAAGGGTCCAAGTTTCTTTTACATGTAGATATCCAATTTTCCCAACACTACTTGTTAAAAAGAGTATCCTTTTTCTATCAAATGGCCTTGTCACCCTTGTCAAAAATCATTTGACTGTATAAATGAGGGTTTATTTCTGGGTTCTTTATTCCATTGGTCTGTATGTCTATCTTTATTAGCAAAGGTATTTTTAACCATAGCACAATAGTGTTCTCTTCGCCTGCTTATTGTTTGGATCAAAGAAGAACATGAAGCTGGGTTCCAGCCTGAGGGTGGAGAGGTGTGTTTTTATAAATTTCAGCCTTCTCTAAGAATGAGTAATCTCAGTCATTAGCTTCAGCCAGATTTACTCCCCATAAGAGAAATATTAACCCCATATGTTACCGTTTTGATAAGAATTGCATGTAAAATACATCACTCATTTAGCACAATGCCTGAACTTTGGTAAATTTTAGCTATTAGATATGCTAGGCCAGTGGTCCCCAGAACAGCAGCAACAGCATCAGCTGGGAATATATTAAACATGCAAAATCTTAAGACATAGAGATGACCAACAAGTACATGAAAAAGATACCCAACATTACTAATCATGAGGAAAAGCAAATCAAAACCACCGTGAGCCATCACCTCACACCTATTAGAATGGGTGTTATCAAAAAGAAGAAATAACAAGTGTTGGTGAGGATGTGGAGAAAAGAGAACACTTTTATGCCATCGGTAGGAATGTAAGTTGGTGCAGCTACTATTAAAAACAGTATAGAGGTTTCTAAAAAAACTAAAAATAGAACTACCATATGGTCTAGCAATTCCACTTCCAAGTATTTATCCCAAGAAAATGAAACACTAACTTGAAAAGATATCTGCACCTCCATGGTCACTGCAGCATTATTTACAATAGCCAAGACATGGAAACAGCCTAAGTGTCCATGGGTGGATGAATGGATAAAGAAAATGTCATATATATTTATTCAGGGAATATTATTCAGCCATAAAAAAATGAAATCTTCCTATCTGTGATAATATGGATGGAACTTGAAGGCATGATGCTAAATGAAATAAGTCAAAGAAAGATATATACAATATGATATCATTCATTTCTGGAATCTGGAGAAAAAAAAAACAGAAGAAAAAACCCAACTCATAAATACAGAGAACAGATTGGTGGTTGCTGGAGATGCGGAGGGATCAGTGAAATGAAGGGGGTCAAAGGTACAAATTTCCAATTAATAAGTCATAGGGATGTAATGTATAACATAGTGAGTATAGTTAGTAATACTGTATTGCATTTTTGAAATTTGCTAAAAGTAGATAAAAGTTCTGATCACAAGAAAAAGAATTTATAACAGAATGTTAGCTAGATAGAGTGGTGGTCATTTCATAATATATACAAGTATCAATCTTTGTGTTGTATACCTGAAACTAATGTTATATATATATATATTTTTTAAAGATTTTATTTATTTATTTGAGAGAGAGAGAGAATGAGAGAGAGCACGAGAGGGAAGAGGGTCAGAGGGAGAAGCAGACTCCCTGCCGAGCAGGAAGCCCGACGCGGGACTCAATCCCGGGACTCCAGGATCATGACCTGAGCCGAAGGCAGTCGCTTAACCAACTGAGCCACCCAGGCGCCCCCTATACAAAACAAATAAGTACAAATTCTTGGGCTTCATCCCAAACCTACTAAATCAGAAACCTGGGGTAGGATCTCTTTTCTTAACAAGCCCTTCAGGTGATTCTGATATGCAGAGCCAACGTTTGAGAATGAAGGCCCACCATGATAAAAACAAAAACTGACCCCCCTCTCATGTGCTCTCTCTCTCTCATTCTCTCTCTCAAATAAAATAAATAAAATCTTTAAAAAAAAAAAAACTGACATTCTCCTGAAGGTATCTTATTTACAAATATCTTGCTATGTTTATCACTTACACATTTTTAAAGGTATAAACTAGCAGTAACACAGGGAGTTAAATTTTTTTTTAAGATTTTATTTATTTATTTGACAGAGAGAGCCACAGAGAGAGAGGGAACACAAGCAGGGGGAGTGGGAGAGGGAGAAGCAGGCTTCCCGCGGAGCAGGGAGCCGATGCGGGGCTCGATTCCAGGACGCTGGGATCACGACCTGAGCGGAAGGCAGACGTTTAACGACTGAGCCCCCCCAAGCGCCCCAATTTTTTTTTTAATTGAGAGCGCGTGCTGGAGCGTGGAGGGACAGAGGGAGTAGAGAAGGAATCCCAAGCCGACTGGGCGCCCAGCCCTGAGCGGGAGGCGGGCCTCCATCTGACCACCCTGAGATCCTGATCTGAGCCGACATCAAGAGTCCGAGGCCTAACCAACTGAGCTGCCCAGGCGCCCCTTTTTGTTGTTGTTTTTTGGTTTGTTTTTGTGGGTTTTGGGGGGGAGTTAATTTTAATAACACGTCTGGTGAAAAACGGGCTGATGGGCAGGAAAATGAGGTAAAGAGAGCCTGAATGCTCAAGGCCACTACAAGCGTCAACACCGAGAGCCGAGAGTAGGAAAGATCGTCAGAAGATGAAGGAAACACTTACAGGGGGACACAGGAAGGGAAAGGATTATTTTGCGCGAATTATTCAGAAATAGCTGTTGTATGTGCAGGAGAAATGATGTCTTGTGGCTCTGCCCATGCCATCCTTTCTGGCTAAGTGTCTTGTGTCCTATTCTCTGCCCATGTAGACCTTTCATTAACAACAACTCCTCACCTGCAAGAGTCTCCTCGGCCGGCCGGCCGTCCGTCCGTCCGTCCGCTGGGCCAGCATGTTCCCCTCCCCCCTTGCCTATTACTTGTCTCTTTTCGCTCCCCCTATTCCTCGCGGGGGTGCTCTTTGAGAGCAGGTACCACAGTCCTTTATAACTCCCCGTGGGCTCTAAAGGAGCCGCCTCTCTCCAGCCTCAGGGAGAAAGGGCGGGAAAGCCGCGGGAACAGATGCTCTCATTGGCTAGAGTTTGCTTTTCTCACCGCGCCCGGGGCCTCCTGGGAGGAGAGTTTGAGGGATTTTTGTTTGTTTGTTTGTTTGTTTGTTTGTTTCCTGTTTTTCTTCTTGCAGCGGAGCACCGCCCTAATTCGTGGGCTTCGCTGCTGTTGGGGGTGTGAGTTCCGGGCTGTCAGGGCCCGCAGGTCATCTTCCTCTGTGGGCGGGGCAGCTGTGGGAGGCTCTGCCCCCTCTCCCGAGATTACCTGTGAACCATCATTTTAATTTCGCCTCCTCTGGCCGTATAGGGGGCCCTCGACCTCCCTGGCAAGCCTTCTGCCTGCATCACCGCATACATCTTACTGTTGTGAGCAACACTTCTGGAGTTTCGCAAGATTGCGAATTTTTGAGGAACGATTTTTGAAGACCTAGAAATGGAGGTTTTCTGAAGACAAATATTCTAAGCAGGGGAAGAGGCAGGAGACTCGTTATGTGATCAGGGCAGGTAAAGTGAACAGGACAAAGGTAGAAGAAGCAGGGGAAGTGTTGCCCACTACATTTTCTTTGGGAAAATTTCAGCACACAGCAGAATTGCTTTAGATACAGACATAAATATAAATAAATATAAATTTCTAAATAAATATTTAAAATAAAAATAAAAATATAAAAATATTTTGCTATACAGAATATTTATTAAAAAGAAGGGTAATCAAGGGTTGAGATTTAATAAAATTATAATTTTTATTGCTTCATCAAAGATATTTCAAGTAAAACTTGTTTTCCTTCCCTTCTTTTCTATCAGTGTGTAGCAGTAAAGAATATAGTGCCTTCTAGTACAGTTTGGTACCACTGCCTTGATTCATGCTTCGAGGCCAGCAGTTTTACCCACTATTGGTTTTACACTGTTGAAGTAAATATCAACACAGGTAAATAATGTCTAAGGATTATTATGAAAAGTTTTGACCTTGTGATAGTCCCCTGAAAGTCTTGACTCCCCCAGGGGTATAAGGACTACATTTTGAGAATCAGTGCCCTAGGGAATAGTAAGGCCTTTTCTTTCTCTCTCTAATCCTCATTCAGAGAAGGTAGTACACTTTAGTGAATTATTCAGGATCTCCTTTATGTGTGTGTACAGTTGTTCAGCCAATTACGTGCAAACACCATATTCAATTTGCAACCCACAGAAGAGATTTTAGAAGCCATTTGGACCAATAACTAGTCATTTTAAAGATTTTATTTATTTTATTTTAGAAAGAGGGAGGGCACGCAGGAGCAGGATGGGGGAGGAGCAAAGGGGGAGGCAGAGAAAGGGGGAAAGAACCTCAAGTAGACTCCCCACTGAGCCCTGCTGGGGCTCAATCTCAGGACCCTGAGATCATGACCTGAGTTGAAACCAAGACTCTAACATGTAACTGACTGAGCCACCCAGGTGCCCCAATAACTAGTTATTTTAAAATGTTCTGGCCTGAATGCCATCATTTGAGTCTTTACCTAAATGTAATGTCTTACAGTTCTTTGTCTGCTTTTAGGATTTTTTTCTTTCAGTTTTAAGCAGTTTGATTATGATGTGTTTGACTATAATTTTAAGTTCATCTGTTTGGGTTTTTCTGTGCTTCTTGGATCTGTGAATTTATACTTTTCACAAGGTCTGGGTAGTTTTCAACCATTTTGTATGTATGTATGTATTATATATTTTTTTCTACTCCAATCTCTCTCTTCTTTCCTTCTGAGAAATCTGTGACATGAATATTGTTCCTTTTGATATTGTCCTACAGGTCTCTAAGACTAATTTCAGTTCATTTCATTCTTTTTTCCCTTCTCTTATTTATACTGAATACATTTCATCTTCAAGCTCAGTGACTTTCTTCTGTCATCTCCATTCTGCTGAGTCCCTACAGTGTTGCTCTAGGGTTCTGCTATGCTGAATCTACCACTGCTGCACAGTGGGGAGAGGGAGTAGCTCTGCTCTTTTTTTTTTTTTTAAGATTTTATTTATTTATTTATTTGAGAGAGAGAGTGAGTGGGAAGTAGAGGGAGAGAGAATGTGAAGCAGACTCTGTGCTTAGTGCAGAGCCTGACACGGGGCGGGGTTCAATCCCAGGACTCTGAGATCATGACCTGAGCTGAAACCAAGAATTGGAAACTTACTGATTGAGCCACCCAGGTGCCCCTAGCTCTGCTCTTGATTAGCACTTCTCTGGTGTAGAATAGAAGGCTGAAATAGGGCTTTGCTCTTCAGGGACTACCTCACCGCTGGTGAGGAGGGGAAGGAGTGCTGCCATTTGGGGACAACCATGGTGTGGGAGGGGTAAAAATCAGAATGGTCCCTTTCCTATTTGCCAGTCTTACAGCTAAAGAATAGAATCTTCTCTCTTCTTCTTCTTCTTCTTCTTTTTTTTTTTTTTTTTTCCTGTCTGGGCCATTGGAAGGTCTGGATTTTAGGCTGCTCTAGTGTCCAGGTAGGGATATATATAAGACAAAAAGAAAACCCAAGGAACTTGTAGCTACCTTGTCCCCTAAGTCCTGAGACCCTTAGTCTGCTTGTAACTGCTTTTTGGAGTCTTCTGGTAGTTTTACATATTTTAGTCCAAGGTTTGTGGAAGTTGTTGTAGGAGAGGTTGAATGGAGGGTGATTAGTTTGTTTTATTTAGAAATAGAAGTCTCTTGGGGCGCCTGGGTGGCTCAGTTGGTTCAGCATCTGCTTTCAGCTCAGGTCATGATCCTCGGGTCCTGGGATTGAGCCCCACATTGGGTTCTCCCTCTCCCTCTAACATTACCCTCTGCTTGTGCTCTCTCTCTCAATGTGTGTCAAATAAATAAATAAAAATCTTTAAAAAAATAGAAGTCTCTTATCTGTTTTTATTAAAAAATAATTTGTTACTTTGATAGGTCAAAAATTATTACTTATTTTGTAGTTTTGTTATAGTCAAAGGAAGAACTTATTTTTCACATATTAACCATTATTTTCATTTCTACATTGCTTAATTTGGGGGTTTACTCTCAATTTTGGAATAACTCATAGACTTTTCTTGGCAGATTTTTTTCCTGTTTGCTTTTTTACTCTTGTTTTATTTTAATGTGCAGAATTTTAAGGTTTTTATATAATGTCAGTAATTTCCTCTGTGATTTCTTCCATTAATTTTATGCTTAGAAAATCTTTCTTCTTCCTAAAATCCAATAAATACATATATTTTTCCCTGCTTTCATTTCCTATGTTTAACTCTTTGATCCCTCTTAATTTTATTAGTATTTGGTGAAACATGAGTATTGTGTTTAAAAAATTTCAAGTTATTAACTATTGTATCCTATACATTTTTCTCATTAAAAGTTACTCCTAACTTGTTGAAAGTTAGGTCTAATGACAAATAGATAAAAGCTCCAGAGTCTTTTTTTTAAATATAAAGTGATTTTAAGGATTGGAATTTTATTTATTTATTTATTTTTAAGTAAGCTCTACGCCCAATGTGGGGCTTGAACTCACAATCAAGTGTGTCGCATGCTCAGGGAGCCTGGGTGGCTCAGTTGGTTAAGCATCTGACTCTTGATTTTGGCTCAGGTCTTGATCTCAGGGTCATGAGATTGAGCTCCACATCAGGCTCCACATGGCTGGGTGTGGAGCCTGCTTAAGATTCTCTCTCTCCCTCTCCCTCTGCCCTATCCCCTACTGTGCATTCACATGCTCTCTGTCTCAAAAAAAAAAAAAAAAAAAAAAACCACAACTGAGCCAACTCTACCACAACTCTACCAACTGAGCCAGCCAGGTGTCCCAGACTGTAATTCATTATAAAGATACAAGTTTGTTCTTCAGTGCCGCCAGTGGAGAATTGGGGACTGTATATTTGGTAGCCAGCATAGGTCCTGGAGAGTGGTGAGATATGGCCCAGGCCAGGGAGGCATATGTTGGGAGTGGAGCATGAAATAGAGGTGGGGACATTATATCTTGTTCTCTGCAGCTCAAAGTGCTAGTCCACCTGAGTTGTGGCTACAAGCCACACAAAAATAGGCAGCAGGCTGGTTTTGGCCCATGGGCCACAGTTTTCCAACCTCTGCTCTAGTAACCTTGGTAAAGGACAGACCAGAGAACCAGAAATAGAAGGGAAAACCCTCTCCTCCTGCAGTCTCTCCAGTACCCTTTACTACAAAGCTTAACATCATGTCAGCTGAAAAAAGGAAAAATATTTAAAAGGCCCAGATCCATTTTCACATTCAGGTAACAAAAGCAATAAATTGGTAACTGGCATAACCAGTATGGTAGAAATTATAGTGAGGAAGGAGAATCTGAATTTCTTGCTCAAAGCTTCGATTAGTGAAATGATAGAAGAGATGGTATGGCAATTTCTTTTCTCTAGGTGGAAAATGAAAAATAGGAATCTTTGGGTTACCTGGGAGATATAGGGAATTCTCATTCCAAACTTTTCCTTCAGTACACCATTTACCTTCTCATCTGTAAATGTGAATAATATAATCCACTTTTCAGTGTTGCTGAAAGAATTAATGATAATTTATACACAATACCTGATCCATAGGCCTTCAATAAATAAATAGTAGCTCTTCTTCCCCAGATGGGTCAAAGGCCGAGAAAAAGCCAAGGGAAGAAGGATTAAAATAGAAAATCAGATGTGATTTTTAAACAGGAAATGGAGATGTGTTTTTTGAAATGAAATATTTAGAACCGCAGTTTTGAAGGAAAAAATGAGGAAAGTTATGCAGTATAATTCCAGAATGTGTATTGTGAATTGAGAATGCAAATAAAGCTTACTCTTGGTTTTATTCCTGAGCATGGGCATTTATTTATACCACTTAATTTGGAGGAAAGCAATTTTTAATTAGTGAATTTGGATTTTCTGGAATTTTAGATCTGTAGAGATCAAGCTAGAAATAAGCTTCTCTGTAGTGGGTTGTAGGTCTGGGATATTTCAATTCTCTGATTCCAAGAGTTACATATATATGGTAAATGATTTCTACTCTGCCATTTGTGTGTGTGTGTGTTTCTGCTTTGGCTTCATTTGTACAGGATTCTGGGAATTGACAAGGGCATGGATGGCTGGGAGTTACTGTAACAGAATTGAATGTTGTCCAGAATGTAGTGTTATTGTGGGACTGCAGCTTGTCTGTGTCCTGGGATGCCCTGAGCCTCATATTCAAAGTAAAAATCCTCAGAGAAATGGGTTTTTGGTTTTGAGATTTAACTGATTGTAGCAGAATGGTTCTTGGAGGTCCCACAATATGGGCTCATGGAAAGATATAACTATTAATAAAACCTGATTTAATTTATGAGAGATTTAATTTATATAGACTCCTTTGGGTGAAAAAAAAGTACTTGGGTAGGATTTTGCTAATACCAAAGCCCTTATTTCTCTCGTGTCATTTTTGGAGGGATGAGTATAGATTTTATATTTGTGGGGAGGAGTGTGTTACACTGGGTGTTTAGAGCTTCTTGGGAGGAGTCAGGGAGACCAGATCTTCATATTTTTGGGATAATTGCTGAGAAATTTTCCTGGTCCTCCAATAAGATCACCTGGATCTATAATCTCTAGACTCACTTCTGGACAATTGTGCTGAGGATTAGAAGGATGAATGCCCAATTGCTAGTCTGTCTCCAGGCTTTTATGGAATCTTAATATTTTTATTTTCACATGTGAACCACTTTAGTTCTCCCAAAAGCCATGAGTCGACTGGTGGGTTTATTTGCTGAAATGACTGTTGTGGGGTTATTTGCATTAAAGTGGAAGGCACAAAGTGGTACAGGAGAGGAAAAGAGTCTTTTGGGGAAAAACAACTAGCAGTTTAAGGTTAAGTTGGGGAGTTGTAATAGATTGTTGAAAAGGTTTATATTATTTGGTTTTGAGAGAGATAAACTGAATCAATGCAAGATAATTGAGTAAGCAAGAACTAGAACCTTGGGGCCCCAGGACTGTGGGTCAAGGAGGGGCAGTGAGGTATAGATTGGGGTTAAATCAGAGTATGCTACTAAATTTTGCTGTACTCTTGTATGGAGTTTTTCTTAATGAAGTTAGAGCTGCATAACTCTATGTGAGGGAGTAAGATTAATAAAACCTCTGACGTTCTTAGAATTTTGTATAGTAAATAAAGGTTCCTATGCCTAAATCAACCAAGTTCCTCTGGAGTCCTCAGTCACAACCACTATAGAAGATATCAACAAAAAACAATAGATCTTGCTCTGGAACTTGAAGCAGAAAGATTTAGGCTAAAGATTATTCCCAAGTATCCTTTATCTTCACCACCAGCCAACCCCAAGCCTTCCAGAAATTAAGAGCTATTGATCTTTCTCATAACAGGGTGGTGCTAGGTGGTAACTTCTGGTTTATAATCATAGATGATTAAAATTGGAAGGGATGGTTCAGTCTTGTTTTTCTGGAGCTGGAGCTGGTGTCTCCTGATTAGAGGTATGACACTTGTTTGTACTGACTCTTTTCCTCAAGAAATTATTTTTTCTGAAGTGTCTTTTTCTTTGGGATATCAGAAGAAGAGGGCTGGCAAGTAGATCTATTCCAAAGAGGAGCAAAATAACTCCAAGGGATTGGTGCAGCAGAAAGTTTCTGTCAGCTAGCTGGCTTTCTTGTCCTCTGAGCTAGCTGAGTGGTAGTGGGGCGTTGGTTTCCTACCTCTCATTTTTTGTTATTCCCCTATTACTTACAGTATATTTATACAGAAATCTATATAGAAATGAATGGTTATGTGTAAACAAAAATGTTTTGTTTTGTTTGGTATGGTTTTTTTTTCATATAATTCTTGTCCTTTGATTTCAGCCTTTCCCAAAGGTTTCTAATTGGTCTCTTTTTTCATCACAGGGATATCAATAAACACGGTGGTTTGATTTGGTTTTGTTTTTTTTTTTTTTAAGAGATCCAGGGGAGGGGCAGAGGGAGAGGGAGAGAAAGAATCTTAAGCTGCTCCACTCCATACTCAGCATGGAACGTGATGTGCGGCTCAATGTGGGGCTCAATCTCACAACCATGAGATCATGACCGAGCTAAAATCAAGAGTTGGTTGCTTAACCGACAGAGCCACCCAAGTGCCCCTGATTTGGTTTTTGTCTTTCTTTCATGATGATACCATTGTGTGCAGCCAACCTATCTTTACCTGGAGTCAGTTGATATGAAGGTCAGAGTTCACTTACTCTCCTCTTATTCTCAAAGCAAACAGTTTTGTCTTTTTTCTCTGATGGTTGTGCCATCCTACGGCCAGTGGCCTATGCAACCAGGAAGTATAGCCAGACCAAGAGACTACACAAATGAGAGAAATCCTGCTCCATGTGGTTCTGCCTCTCAGTCTGGCAGCTCTTCATTGGTGCACTGTCCCTGTGCTAATGTGTTAGTCTACTGTTCTTGGAGATCCACAGTATCCTCCTCTAATTTAAAGACTGGGAGAAGGTACAGTGAGTGCTTGTAGATCCTTCTGATTCTGAGCTGTGATTGTGGAGATAAACTTCCTCTTGCTCTGTAGTGGAGATAAATAAAGGTGTGGAGAGGGTCAACCTTGGAGAAAAGGAAACCTAGCTCAGTAATTAACAACTCAGGCCTTAGAATTAAGTAGACTTATGTATGAATCCACACTCTACCTCTTACTGCTGTGTGACTACTTACAGCTGTGTCATTATGTTATGTGTCCTTCATACCTTGGCCCTAAACTACCTTTCCAGTCTAATCTCCTGCCACTTCCTTTCTCGTTGTCTACTCCCCACTCCCCAACAGTTGTGTTTTAACCAAGTGGAACTACCTAGAAGCTTGTTGGAAAGGTAAAACCTCTGGCCCCATCCCAGACCTAATGTACTGGAATAAGTACTTTATGAAGTACACATTAAAGTTTAAGAAGCACTGGTCTAAGCTACTTCCTGGCACTTTTATTCCTGGCAGAAACTATGTCACAGTCCAGCCTGTGACTGCTGAGTATATGGGAATGTCCTTTAGAGAAGTATGATATGCTTTTGCAATTTGAAGTATTCTTTGAATAATTCCCAACTAAGTTGTGTCCAAAATAAGAAGTCCTTGAGTAACTAGCTTCCTTGGTCCCCTTCATTTTCAACCCTTTGAGATTTATCCCTTTATTCCCTATCTCCTTTCTCCTGATTTCCTGGGCATTTCCTTTGAATCCAGAGAAATCCTCCTCACTAGAGAGAAGCTTACACAGACTCAATTAAATGCCTGCTCTGTGTATAAAGAATAGTGTTAGGTGCAGCAGGGGCCATAGAAATTCAAAGGCTATTTGGCTCTCAGGAAACTTTTTATTTAGTTGGAAAGGCATAAACATTCAGAGTAAAATTAATTTTATGCCTTATATTTGGGTAGTCCTTTGTCATCTACCATCACCTCTTCTGAACTTCTCCAATAGTTCTGTGATGTTGGTAGGAAGGGATTATTAGCTGCCCCCCCTTTAAAGATAAAGAAGTCAGATATGGCATTTATCAATGCCATACGGCTGTTAAAGAGCTGGGGGGGGGGGTATGTGTCCATGTCTTTCAGCTCTAAGTCCAGGCTGTTTTCTTTTTAAAATTCTTGTGCTGCATTGTACTCTCTACTACCAGATTAATTTAAAATAAAATGCAGTATAGGATTGCATAAGTTTAATGTGGTAGTTAAGAGGAGAGAAATCATTTGAAAGAGTGAGGGGGTTCAGTGAGGGAAGGATTCAGCAGGATTTTGAAAGATGAGCAGAATATATCTGGACAGAGAAAGAGGGTGAGCAATCCAAGAAGAGGGACAAGAGGTAGAAAAGCAAAGTCTGGTGAAAGAATAATGATTAGACCAGAGTTCTTGGTCTATTTGGAAACTGGATTGTTTCGATCCAACTGAATGAGGCATCTGAATTACCCAGGTGTGAGAATCATTGTTTAGGGTAGAGGGACCACAGTGATTCCCTCTTTCCTTCATATTTTTGCACAGAATCCCCCATGTGGAGAGTCAGGGAGACATGACTGTCGATCTCTAGATGGTGGGACCTAAAGGTGGGAGTTTCTAGGTCGGGTTTTGTTTGATAGACTACCACGTTTACTTTTTAAAGGCTTTGTATTACCTGTTTTAGACAGTTGGGAGTAGCTTCTTTCACCTTAGGGAAATGTGAGTAGATGGGTGTTCAGGACCACAGAAAAATAGTGAACTTCAGAAAGTGGTTGAGATCCAGGTCAGTGAGAAGTGGCAGCATTATAAAGCGCAGGGAACAAACCCTGGAGATTATAAAGGTGATTCTTAGGGGTGTACAGGCGCCCAGATCTGGATTGGTTCAGACCTAGAAGGAAGTGGAGTCTGATTGGACCACCTACCTGGGTGGGATCTGGCAGCTCGCCAAATAGGACCTGAAAGTCTAGGCCGGGCGTGCCATTGTGACGTGGTCCAGCCGGTCTCAGCTTAAGCTCGCGCCTTGGTGGGGGTGGCCCACATCAGTGGCCCCGCAGAGGCGGGAGCGGGGCCATGGCTGAGGTGGCTGGGCCCACTGGTGAATCCAAAGGCACTGAAGTTAAAACCCAGCAGGCCACGGAGAAAACCCTCACGGCCCTGCCGAGGCAGGGCCTGCGCTCCGTGCTCAAAGTGTCCCAGCTGTTGCTCCGAGCCATCACCGAGCACAAAGGGCTGACTCTGGCTGCCCTCAAGAAGGAGCTTGGAAATGCTGGCTACGAAATGCGCCGGAAGTGCTGCCGCCACTCGGGCGATGCACTCTGGTCTGAGGTTAAGGGCACGCTTCTCCGGGTCAGCAGCAGCGATGCCTCTGGCTACTTCAGGGTTTGGAAGATTCCGAAGCCGAAGAGAAGGCCAGGACGCCTGAGGTTGGAAGAGGGCGTGCGCTCTTCGAGGAGGACCCTTCCCGGGCCTTGGAGCCCACGGCGGCGCTGCACTCATCGCAGGGCCGCCAAGAAGGCCAGGGAAGTCTGGAGACGAAGCACGAAGGTAAACACAAGGGGGCGGAAGATAAGGCCAAGAGCCAAGGACTCGGTGCGTTCCAGAGCCAGGGAGGAAGTGAGGGCCAAGGGGATGGACGAGGGGAGAGGACGGACCAAGAAGGAAGACATCAGGCCTAGGACCCGAGAGAAGAGGCCAGGCCCGAAGCCCAGGGAAGAGAAGAAGCAGGACCCGGTGAAGCCGGTAAAACGCACCATCCAGAAGACAGCTTTGGTTAAAACTGACCGACATTCTAGCAGTCAGGGGAAGACTCATGACCTAAGGGCTGCTCGCACAAAGACTTACTAAATCTGAAAGTCTTTGGAATGCAGCCAGTTATTCGTAGTGTGGGAGCAATTTCCCTTCCTCCAGGCACAGATGCCCTTCCCCATAGGCTCTAATGAGAGCAGCTCTCACACACTGAAGTGGACAAAACTATATACAAGACCTTTCCACTACATCGTGTCCGTTTCCTCTTTGCCGCACATGGGTACGGGTGGGTGTTGAGGGGAGACATACAGCAGGGGCATATGGGGTGAAGAGACAAAAAGATGTCGAGATTCTGTTCCTGCTTCAGGCCGCAGGACAATGGCTTTCAGAAGGAAAAAAGAAAACAGGTAGAAGAAAAGCAGCAACTTGGGGGGATTAGACAGAAGTGTTGAATTATTGAATTAACGTTAGACACCCAATCAAATCCAAATTGAGTTTTGGGGAGAAGGGCTTGTAAAGAGAGAAGTGAGGGGCATCGTCCGGGCAAGAGAAGAGTAGACACCTTTAAGTTGAGCGGTCCCACTGATCCAAAGTGTTCTTAACTGAAATTCCTTTTAGGAAAAAGGCCCTTCTCCCAAAGTTGATTGTAATGGGTCTGGAGTTTTTGCCTGACTTGATAATAGTATTTTAACTGTAAAACTTTATTATGTCAGTCTTCAGTTAAATGAGAGTGTGTGAAAGCATCTAGAACAGGGCTTGGCACAGGGTAGGTGCTCATTACTGAGAGTTAAATAAGAGTATAAATAGTTTGTGATGATGTGATAATGTGCTATAGCAGAAAACTCTGCCAGATCAGTACTTAATGAGACCAGGATTCTAGTCAAAGTTCTGCTACTCTGACCTTGGCTGAGTTGTTACTTAACCATTTATAGTCTTGTTTTCCTTCTCTGTAAAAAAAAGGTTGGAATAGGACTAGGATTGTTTTAGGTGGTTTTAAGTGTTAGTAAAATAAGGACTTAAAATATCATGACATTAGGCTTTGTTTGATAAAATGCAGTGAGGGAATTTTCAACTGGGAAAATACTAACTCCTAGAGAGGAAATAATTAAGATTTATAGAATACATATCAGAAATATAAGGAGATGGGAAGGCTAACTAATGAATAGCTAGGTCTTTTGCTTTTCTTAAAAAACAACATGTATTGAGCACCAAATACCAAGTGTAGAGCAAATGTATGATTTTTTTTTTTTTTTTTAGTTCTGAATGCAGAGATTAAGAACAGCATGGGAATAGTTCTCATGTCATAATAGGACACAGAAATGGTTCCTAGGGAAGTAAAAACATCAGAGTAGCCCGTTCAGGGAAATGACTTGCTGTTTCCAGCTGAAGCCAAAGGAGTAGGGAAAAGGGAAACACTGGGAAGGTGCTTTTCATTCTTGTAAAGAGGTGACAGTGACGGTGGGAGATGAGAATGATTTGGAACAACCTGGAGAGCTTTTTCAGTGTACCCTACCAAGCTTTTCCCAAGAGTCTGATATCTTCTACAAGGGGGAACAGGGTATGTGTATTTATACACACACAGAAGGGAAGGGAGGGAGGAGTGGGAAAGAAAGCTTAAGTGATACTAATATTCACCCTCTCACACCCTTAAATGAGAATCACTGCTTTAAACCTATGCAGAGCTACTAGCAAAATGCTTGCCGTGCATCTCATCTATAGATGATCTGAACTTTCAAAGTCCCCCCTGCTGTAATTAGGTTCACTGTGCACTTGAATTGTCTGTGAGTAGCAGAATGAAGCAAACAGAGTAAGAGAATAGGGAGCCATCTGGTAAAAGGTAGTGGGAAACATTGTCCATTGAGCACAATTAGAACAAAGTTAATCAGATGTCTTTAAGATAGCCAGATGTACCACCTCTTTATAGTCCTGGGAGGTTTTTACCTAAACAATCAGATGGCCCAGAACTAGAAGCCTTTTCTCCTAAGATGGGATGGGAAGGACACTGGCAAAAATTTTTCTAGATTTCCTAAGAATCATCACAGTTCTATATGTATTGTGATGATTTCTTCATTTAAGCACACTTCCAATCATTCAGTCAGTAAATTTGGCAGATCTATTAAGTGTCAGAATCTGACTGGTCATTTCAGATTATTTTTCATTGGTAAATTTTATGGTGGCTATACTCCAATGAAATACAAGAAATGATTTTAACTCATTGGCAAGCTATCCACATTATCTAGGTCATAATGCTAGCTGGGTACTTCTGTGAAAGGAATTCCCAAGAATAGTTAATCTTATCCCAAGTATTCACTAATGACTAAATGCCTGCAAATATTCTGGGCACTTTGCTGAATGAAGATGGATAAAGCATAATCCCCACTTTTCACTGCTCACATTCTAGTGGCATATTTGGGTTTTTAACTTTAGTCAGAGCAAATGGAACATCCCTGACCTCAATTCTTTGCTTTCCTTTTATCTCAACTGCCTCGTGTGATGATCAGAAAATTGTTGGACTTTAGAGTGGTAACAAAGTTTAGATGCCCTCTAGCATCATATATTCAATGATTGTTGATAAAACAGTTAACAGAAATACAAATGGCCTTTAAAAACATGAAAAGGTACAATTTTACTCACAAGGGAGATGCATATTAAAACAATAAGATAATATTTTTTTAATCAGTTCAAAGGTTTTGAGAACCTACTCCATTGGTGAGGCTGTGGGAGATCAGGCACTCACACACAATGCTAGTGAGCGTGTAAATGGAAGGAATCTGTCTTTCATAATTACAAATGCAAATGTCCTTTGATCCAGCAGAACCACTTTATCTTTTAGATGTAAATGCATTTGTGAAAAGACTTATGTCCAAGGTATTCAGTGCAGCACTGCAGTAACAAAACAGAAAAGGAAATAATCTAAATGTTACTAGGGGACTAGTTAAACTGAAGCTTCCATACAGTGAAGCTGCACGCAGCTGTAAAAAGGAGATTCTCGATGTATTATTATGACAAGCACCCAAAGATATAGTAAGTGAAAAAACAATTCAGGACATTAAGTATACCATACTACCTTTTGTGTAAAATGAAGGAAAATATACCTCTTTGTAATTGTATAAAATTCTGGAAAGATACACACACAAAAACTTACTGGTTCTCTACTGGGAGGGGAAGATGATGGGAATTGTAGAGGATACATAGAAATGAGACTCTCTTACTCTCTCTTTTTTTGTATTTTCAGAACATGTACATTGTAACTTGTTCAAAAATAAGGTAAAAAAATTCCACACAATTGTCAGTTATAGCTTTTTCATTTATAAGGTGGTTTGTACTTTTGCATGCATTATTTCATTTCATTTTCACCTCAATCTCTTAGATCTTAAATGAAAAAGCTAATGTTTGGAAAATGTGCACTTTAGAAATTGGCTTTTAACTATGGATTCCAGTGCTCTCTTGTCTACAGCTACCCATGCCAAAGGGGACCTCACCATCCACTCAGTAACTCTCTGAGACATCCTTTCTATGTAGGTAAAGGGCAGGAGTTAGAACTCATTTCTACATTGTTTTAAAAGTTTGAGGTTTCTTGTGGGGGAGGGTGTTCTCAAACACATTGCAGGGTGTATTTTCAGAGCATGGAAACATCTCCATTTGTCAGTGGTCTCCAAGCAGTAGCTGTCCCCCCTCCTCTGGGGAGCTCTGTGATGACAAGTCTATGAGGTTGGGCTGGAGATCACTCCAGCCACAACCTAAATGCCTAGCAAGGAGAGGAAGACATTCTGGGAAATAAATATAGGGGCACCATGTCAGAAAGAGAACTTTAAAAAAAAAAGCCAAAGGATTTAGAAGAGAGGAACTGAAGACTGAGGGGGTGTCAGCATGAAGCATTGGATGGGGCTGAGAAAGGCACTGATAGAAGGGAGCAAGGAGAGGAAGTCAGGATTTCAATAGACACCACTGGAGATGGCAGAGAGAATGGGGTGGTGGGAATGCAAGCTGGTGCAGCCACTCTGGAAAACAGTATGGAGGTTCCTCAAGAAGTTGAAAATAGAGCTACCCTACGACCCAGCAATTGCACTACTGGGTATTTACCCCAAAGATACAAATGTAGTGATCTGAAGGGGCACCTGCACCCCAATGTTTATAGCAGCAATGTCCACAATAGCCAAACTATAGAAAGAGCCCAGATTTCCATTGACAGATGAATGGGTAAAGAAGATGTCATATATATATACAATGGAATACTACTCAGCCATCAAAAAATGAAATCTTGCCATTTGCAACGATGTGGATGGAACTAGAGGGTATTATGTGAAGGGAAATAAGTCAGAGAAAGACACTTATCCTATGATCTCACTCATGTGGAATTTAAGAAACAAACAGAGGATCATAGGGGAAGAGAGGAAAACATAAAACAAGACGAAATCAGGGAGACAAACCGTAAGAGACTCTTAATCATAGGAAGCAAACTGAGGGTTGCTGGAGGGGATGGGGGTGAGGGGAGGGAGTAACTGGGTGATGGACATTAAGGAGGGTACGTGATGTAATGAGCACTGGGTGTTATATGCAACTGATGAATAACTGAACTCTACCTTTGAAACTAATAATACCCTATCTGTTAATTAATTGAATTTAAAGAAAAAAAATAAAAATAAACGGCGAGAACAGGGGCCTCAGTGAACAATCACAGCTGTGTTACTCTTCCCCCTTTTTGGTTAGGAGAAAGACCAGACATGTCAAGAGTATTACTCCAGGTGACTGGAGGAAGTAAGAGTGAACACAAGAAAACAGGGAAATATGAAGCATGGAGGTAGGTGTCAGAACAGCCTGGCTGGTGCTCAGGGAGCTGTAGAGGTGGATCATCCCCTAAACAGTAGGCCTGAAGCTCCATTAAGGCACCTCCCATGGAGGAAGAGCAAAGCCTTTGGGTTGCACTCAAGGCCCGAGGAGGGGTTCCTTCCCCTCTTTCCCACACCCCAGGAAGCTCCACAGGTGGGAGGCTGTGTCAGTGGGTCAGAGGCTGGCAATTTCCATGCCAGCTTCCCGTGTTTTCTCCCACACTATTTTTTTTCTGTTACCTTATTCTCTTGATAACCTCTGCTATATGCCCATCCTCTTTACCCACAAAGGTATGTCTGGTGGACCCAGCTCCTGCCTAACCCTATCTGTGCATGCCTCCTTGGGCTCCCCTCACATCGCCAATTATTGTAAATTTGCCTAGGGGGTCAAGTCACCACCATCACCTCAGTCTCTAGA